AGGGCTCTTGTTTCCCAGCTGCTGGGAGATGACACTGAAGGTCTGCGGCTGTGCTCCTTGCTCCTGGCACATGGTGAGAATCACACGGTCGGCTTCTCTGTAACCCAGGTATCATGATTAATCCTCAGGAGCCACATAAACGTGTTTCTATGCTCTATCCAAACACACATCCATCCTTACCTACCTTGTCCACAGGACAACCTTCTCCCCAGTGGAGCTGACCTTGCTGTTGTTGGCACAGACTGTAGCTTCTGTGGTCTTTGGCTGCTGCTCCCCCTCTGACCCCTTGCCCTGTATTCCACTGTCTTTGGCCAAACCCCCTCCAGGGGCTTTGGGAGAAGTTTCTGAATTGTCAATTCCTGATGAAGATTCATCGACAGGGGATATCCCGTCTGCTGTCTTCATCCCAGCTCTGTTTGAGGGGAGCCAGCTCTCTTGAGTATCTAGTTTCCCAGATATATGTCTTCTTTCTAAGTCTCTGGTTCTCGAGGAAACAGGACTCAAGAAGGAAGCAGAAGGTTCAACGGTGCCAGGCAATTTCTCAGTTTTTGAGACATCCCAGACCAGCATCAAAGCCTCTGACTCACCCACTGTCTTTTGGCCCTCCCTGTCTTTCTGACGTCTGAGGGATGCCTTGGGGCAGGAGAGAACGTCAGGCCCAGCCTGGTGTCTCTTAACAGTGTATGGTACAGCTCCAGATTTGGGGGGAAACTGAGGAGTTTCTGGTGAGCGAGGTGGTGGGCCATCCAGAAGGAGCTGTTCTGTAAGGACTTCTTGAGGGGACAGCAAAGTACTCCCCACTGGCAATCCTGCTAAGGAGGAAAATAAGGATCTAAGGGTATGGACAAGATCAAGATGCACTTAAGGACTAAAATTACCATAGGGTCACTGTGGTAAACTACTGATATAAAGTTCTAATTTATAAGAGTGGGGTGGAGGTGGGGAGTGGGTAAAGTCACTTATGCAAAGACAAAGTCCTACTGCCAAAGCTGAGAATGACTTGAGTCCTTAGAATGGAGATTATAGTAGATTTGGAGATAAGGAGAAGGGCTTCAGGAATGAGAACACAAGAGGAGAATGCTGAATCATGTCCAACTTGTAGCACTCTTAATTCTGCAAAGCAAGTGAGGCCATAGGAAAGAAAATAAAGGCTGAAGAGGAGAAGGCTTTCCTGTTGGTCTATCAGTGAAAGAAGTAGTGTGTGTATCCCTGAAAAGGCTATTATTTATCCAGACTCAGAGATTCCTCCTTGAAGTATGGGAGAATGAGACTGAGAAATACAGGAAGAGGGCTCAGTTGGCCTGGGATGGCAGTCAGACCACTCACCTGGAACAGGCATCTCTCCCTTTCTTGTGGTCCTGCCAGACTTGCTCTGGGTTGCCTCAATGTTCTCCCGCTCCTCTGGGGCTTCCTCTTCCATCATGTCCTTGCCCTGCCCAGCGTCCTTAGCACCAGGCATAGGACTGGCCTCTCGGTGGGGGCTGCTGCCCACCAACTCATGGGGCTCCTTGCTCTTGTAGGGTTTGCTGTCATAGACCTGTAGGGATGGCATTCTCAGCCAAGGTGTCCTGACTTCCTTTATGTCTTAGGGGCCCACCAAAGGAAGAAGCCCTGCCTGATGCTCAGCAAGTTGACCAACATGCATGCCTGCTCCAACAAACTATTTTTTTAAGAGACAGGGTCTTACTATGTTGCCTAGGCTAGAGTGCAGTGGCTATTCACAGGCATGATCACTTAGCCTCCCGAGTAGCTGGGACTATAGGTGTGAGCCACCGCACCCAGCTAGTGCTCCATGGATTTTAAATGGCCCACAGTATAGTACTGGATCCCACCAGTCCTTCTCTAACCAAGAAGTATATATTTTTGCTGCCAACCAACTCTACTCTAGAGAACCATATTATCTTTAGAGTCTGTTTACCTAAACACAGTTTAATTCATTAAAAAAACATCTAAGAGGAAAATATTTAAACTGGTTGATTTTTTTCCACCAAATTCCAAAAGCTTTAGGATTCTCTTTAAAAACCAAAATCCATCATATATTTCTAACAGGTTCTATTTATTTTGCATATATCCATTTATGTATATATTGAATATTATTAATATATGTATAATCTCTTTAGGAATTCAATATAGTATAAATTTTTGGTAGCAAACAATACCCCAAACTGTAAGGCTTAGGGTGACCCCAGACAACTCTGAGAGCTCTTGGTACCTTCCTCACCTTGCTGTTACAGTGGCTGCAGTTTCTCCTTTTGTTCTTCTTCAGCTTAGAATCAGGACCTCCTTCATGGCAGGAACAGGCACAGTCCTTTGCACCATCTGGCCACTCAGTCTCCTAGGAGATACCTGAGCTTGATTAGCTGCCAAGTATTTTTAGTACCAAGAGAGGTAGCTAAATTGTGAGCCATCTGAACAACCCACCTCCTCCCTACCTTTTCTCTTTTATGTACCCTCTCATCACGTTGCTTGGGGGAAATCAATAAATCAAACTAGATTAAGACCGATTATGAATCCTTGAAACAATCCCTAAATGACCCAAACACTGACATATCCCAATTGCCCAGATGTTTCAAGAACTATTTAAGTCAAATGCAATCTGAGGTAAAATCGCTGGAGAGCTCCATCATAAGATCAGATCTACTCACTTGTCTGTCTTAGTTTCTATCTCCCTGTGCCTTGAGCTCTCCCCTCTCTTCCAATCCCCTTGAGAGAGGACTTTGTACATATGGAAGGCTCACTCAATGATACTCTGTTTAATAAACCCAAGACTTAAGTACCATTATTATAATTAATGATGAAGAAACTGAAACAAAGAGAAGTTAAGTATGTTGCTCAAGGACATTCAGCTGTTAAGAAGCAGCTTAGTAGGCCGGGCGCGGTGGCTCACGCCTGTAATCCTAGCTCTCTGGGAGGCCGAGGCGGGTGGATTGCTCAAGGTCAGGAGTTCGAAACCAGCCTGAGCAAGAGCGAGACCCCGTCTCTACTATAAACAGAAAGAAATTAATTGGCCAACTAATATATATAGAAGAAATTAGCCGGGCATGGTGGTGCATGCCTGTAGTCCCAGCTACTCAGGAGGCTGAGGCAGCAGAATCAATTGAGCCGAGGAGTTTGAGGTTGCTGTGAGCTAGGCTGACGCCACAGCACTCACTCTAGCCTGGGTAACAAAGCCAGACTCTGTCTCAAAAAAAAAAAAAAAAGACTACTTCCTGAAAAGCAGTGAGTGCAAATAGTCTCTGGAGCAAGATTATCTGGGTTCAAATCATCATATTGCCACTTATTAAACATAAGACCCTGGCAATCACCTCTCTCTGCACTTCACTTACCTTGTCTATAAAATGAAAACAATAGTAATTTCTCCATAGGATTAATATGAGAATTAAATGAGTGAATAATCCATGTAAAATACTTTCCAACAATAGCTGATACTTTGTAATACAACTAAGTATTAACTGCAATCATTTTTTTGAAGTATTAGCTGCAACAGGGGTCTCACTCTATTGCCCAGGCTAGAGTGCAGTGGCACGATCATAGCTCACTGCAGCCTTGAACTGCTGGGCTCAAGCCATCCTCCTGCCTTTGGAGTAGCAGGTGCGAACCATTGCACCTAACCATTATTAACAACACAGGGAATCTTGGTTCTATTTCCTTATATCAGGGGTCCTCAAACTTTTTAAACAGGGGGCCAGTTCACTGTCCCTCAGACCGTTGGAGGGCCATTGGAGAGTGCAGCGCACATTCCATATATGCACACTGTGGGCCCAGGACAAGTCGGCTGCTAAGCAGGACAGGCAGCGGTGGCAAAAACACCCGGTGGGCCGGATAAATGTCCTCGGCGGGCTGCATGTGGCCTGAGGGCCGCAGTTTGAGGACGCCTGCCTTACATGAACAAAAAAGAAAAGGTTAAGACTCAAGGGTAAGAAAAATAGCTCTGAGCTAGAGAGAAAAGAGAGAAATATCCTACTAATGAGGGAATCATGGGATCTCCTCAGCAACTGCACTGTTTTTCCCTGGACTCTGCATGTCCACATCAGTCTGACCTTTGGTTCATGCTCCATGCTTGTCTCAGATCCTAGAGGCTTTGGACCAAAAATTTTGGACAATACTAAGCCAGAGAAATGTTAAGCGAGAAAATTCAAGGCTTGACTCATGAAAAACAGATAACCCTCAACAATGTGGCATACCTTATCATGATTTTGGACCCCAATCTCTTTTCTTCTTTTGTTCTTTGAGGCTGTGGGAATCTTAGGAGGTTCCTCTTCCTCTTCCACATCAGGCAGTGCCACTTCTTCAAAGCCATCAAACTGAGGAGGAGTTAGTGCCACTCAGCACAGACTCTAGGCCAATATCCCTCCCACATGTGGCCTTCCCCCTTCACAACCCTACTGTAGCCTCAGGACCTGTACCTCATACTCTTTCTCCTCAGTCCAATTGATCTCTTCAAAGTCACCCATCCGGCTAGCTGCTGGGCGCAGATGGTCAAAGAAGATGGAGAACTCATCTTGTAGGTGGTCATGGCCCTTGAGGAGCTGCCACATCTGTGTCTTGAGCTGAGGAGAGTTGTAGAGGGAAAGATAAAGTCTCCGGATCCTGTCTAGGCCACCCATTCAAAGCAATGCCATACATTTTCATGTTCTGCTTTCTTAGTCAACTGAGAGACACACAGGGCCTGTCTTTGAAAGCAAACTTTCCTCTCCCGCCTCGCCTGCCTATAGAGGAGGAGTATTAATGCTAGGTTTGATTCCTAATATTTATACTCTCCATTGCTGCCTGTACTACTGATCTCTAGCTAGGGCACTAACCCAAGCAGAGCAAGGAGACAGGCCCTTCCCACCCCCTAAAACCTCCTCCCACCCCCAGCCCTTTTTTCTGAGACAGAGTTTCACTCTGTTGCCTAAGCTGGAGGGCAGGGTCTCACTCTGTTGCCCAGGCTGGAGCACAGTGGTACAATCAGCTCAATGTAACCTCGAATTCCTGGGCTCAAGTCATCCTCCTGTCTCAGCCTCCTGAGTAGCTGGACTATAAGTGTGTACTACCATACCCTTATTTATTCCACACAGCAAGGTTGTGACAGCTGTGTCTTTATAGATAAGAAAACTAAAGACACTAAATATTTTGTCCAAAGTTACACTCCTCCTAAAAACAAAACTGGAATGGAAATTTGGGGCTTCTGCCTCAAAATCTAATGTTCTTTTTCTTCTAGAACCATTATCACCCTGACAAGTCAAGCCCTTCCTTAAGTCAGACCTTTATAATAACCAGTTTGTGTCTTGAATTTGCAAATCCATCTTTTGACTTTGCCTCTTAGTTGGCCACCCTGTCCTCTTGCCAGGCCTTCTCTTTGGCTCCTCCAGGGCTTGAAGCTCCAGCAGGGCTTCCTCAGCCCCACTTACCTCAGCAGGGCTCTTGTTTCCCAGCTGCTGGGAGATGACACTGAAGGTCTGCGGCTGTGCTCCTTGCTCCTGGCACATGGTGAGAATCACACGGTCGGCTTCTCTGTAACCCAGGTATCATGATTAATCCTCAGGAGCCACATGAACGTGTTTCTATGCTCTATCCAAACACACATCCATCCTTACCTACCTTGTCCACAGGACAACCTTCTCCCCAGTGGAGCTGACCTTGCTGTTGTTGGCACAGACTGTAGCTTCTGTGGTCTTTGGCTGCTGCTCCCCCTCTGACCCCTTGCCCTGTATTCCACTGTCTTTGGCCAAACCCCCTCCAGGGGCTTTGGGAGAAGTTTCTGAATTGTCAATTCCTGATGAAGATTCATCGACAGGGGATATCCCGTCTGCTGTCTTCATCCCAGCTCTGTTTGAGGGGAGCCAGCTCTCTTGAGTATCTAGTTTCCCAGATATATGTCTTCTTTCTAAGTCTCTGGTTCTCGAGGAAACAGGACTCAAGAAGGAAGCAGAAGGTTCAACGGTGCCAGGCAATTTCTCAGTTTTTGAGACATCCCAGACCAGCATCAAAGCCTCTGACTCACCCACTGTCTTTTGGCCCTCCCTGTCTTTCTGACGTCTGAGGGATGCCTTGGGGCAGGAGAGAACGTCAGGCCCAGCCTGGTGTCTCTTAACAGTGTATGGTACAGCTCCAGATTTGGGGGGAAACTGAGGAGTTTCTGGTGAGCGAGGTGGTGGGCCATCCAGAAGGAGCTGTTCTGTAAGGACTTCTTGAGGGGACAGCAAAGTACTCCCCACTGGCAATCCTGCTAAGGAGGAAAATAAGGATCTAAGGGTATGGACAAGATCAAGATGCACTTAAGGACTAAAATTACCATAGGGTCACTGTGGTAAACTACTGATATAAAGTTCTAATTTATAAGAGTGGGGTGGAGGTGGGGAGTGGGTAAAGTCACTTATGCAAAGACAAAGTCCTACTGCCAAAGCTGAGAATGACTTGAGTCCTTAGAATGTAGATTATAGTAGATTTGGAGATAAGGAGAAGGGCTTCAGGAATGAGAACACAAGAGGAGAATGCTGAATCATGTCCAACTTGTAGCACTCTTAATTCTGCAAAGCAAGTGAGGCCATAGGAAAGAAAATAAAGGCTGAAGAGGAGAAGGCTTTCCTGTTGGTCTATCAGTGAAAGAAGTAGTGTGTGTATCCCTGAAAAGGATATTATTTATCCAGACTCAGAGATTCCTCCTTGAAGTATGGGAGAATGAGACTGAGAAATACAGGAAGAGGGCTCAGTTGGCCTGGGATGGCAGTCAGACCACTCACCTGGAACAGGCATCTCTCCCTTTCTTGTGGTCCTGCCAGACTTGCTCTGGGTTGCCTCAATGTTCTCCCGCTCCTCTGGGGCTTCCTCTTCCATCATGTCCTTGCCCTGCCCAGCGTCCTTAGCACCAGGCATAGGACTGGCCTCTCGGTGGGGGCTGCTGCCCACCAACTCATGGGGCTCCTTGCTCTTGTAGGGTTTGCTGTCATAGACCTGTAGGGATGGCATTCTCAGCCAAGGTGTCCTGACTTCCTTTATGTCTTAGGGGCCCACCAAAGGAAGAAGCCCTGCCTGATGCTCAGCAAGTTGACCAACATGCATGCCTGCTCCAACAAACTATTTTTTTAAGAGACAGGGTCTTACTATGTTGCCTAGGCTAGAGTGCAGTGGCTATTCACAGGCATGATCACTTAGCCTCCCGAGTAGCTGGGACTATAGGTGTGAGCCACCGCACCCAGCTAGTGCTCCATGGATTTTAAATGGCCCACAGTATAGTACTGGATCCCACCAGTCCTTCTCTAACCAAGAAGTATATATTTTTGCTGCCAACCAACTCTACTCTAGAGAACCATATTATCTTTAGAGTCTGTTTACCTAAACACAGTTTAATTCATTAAAAAAACATCTAAGAGGAAAATATTTAAACTGGTTGATTTTTTTCCACCAAATTCCAAAAGCTTTAGGATTCTCTTTAAAAACCAAAATCCATCATATATTTCTAACAGGTTCTATTTATTTTGCATATATCCATTTATGTATATATTGAATATTATTAATATATGTATAATCTCTTTAGGAATTCAATAAAGTATAAATTTTTGGTAGCAAACAATACCCCAAACTGTAAGGCTTAGGGTGACCCCAGACAACTCTGAGAGCTCTTGGTACCTTCCTCACCTTGCTGTTACAGTGGCTGCAGTTTCTCCTTTTGTTCTTCTTCAGCTTAGAATCAGGACCTCCTTCATGGCAGGAACAGGCACAGTCCTTTGCACCATCTGGCCACTCAGTCTCCTAGGAGATACCTGAGCTTGATTAGCTGCCAAGTATTTTTAGTACCAAGAGAGGTAGCTAAATTGTGAGCCATCTGAACAACCCACCTCCTCCCTACCTTTTCTCTTTTATGTACCCTCTCATCACGTTGCTTGGGGGAAATCAATAAATCAAACTAGATTAAGACCGATTATGAATCCTTGAAACAATCCCTAAATGACCCAAACACTGACATATCCCAATTGCCCAGATGTTTCAAGAACTATTTAAGTCAAATGCAATCTGAGGTAAAATCGCTGGAGAGCTCCATCATAAGATCAGATCTACTCACTTGTCTGTCTTAGTTTCTATCTCCCTGTGCCTTGAGCTCTCCCCTCTCTTCCAATCCCCTTGAGAGAGGACTTTGTACATATGGAAGGCTCACTCAATGATACTCTGTTTAATAAACCCAAGACTTAAGTACCATTATTATAATTAATGATGAAGAAACTGAAACAAAGAGAAGTTAAGTATGTTGCTCAAGGACATTCAGCTGTTAAGAAGCAGCTTAGTAGGCCGGGCGCGTGGGCTCACGCAGTCCTACTCTCTGGGAGGCCAGGCGGGTGGATTGCTCAGGTCAGGAGTCAAACCAGCCCTGAGCAAGACCGAGACCCGTCTCTACTATAACAGAAAGAAATTAATGGCCAACCTATATAATAGAAGAATTAGCCGGCCATGGTGTGCATGCTGTGAGTGCCCGCCACTCAGAGGATGAGGCAGCAGAAATCAATGAGCCGAGAAGTTTAGGTTGCGGAGCTAGCTGACTCCACGGCACTCACTTCTACGCCTGGTAACAAAGCCCAGACTCTGTCCTCAAAAAAAAAAAAAAAAAACTACCCTGAAAAGCAGTTGAGGCAATAGTCCTGGAGCAAGATATCTGGGTTCAAACAAATCATCATATCTTGCCACTTAATTAAACATAAGACCCTGGCAATCCCTCCCTCGCGGCACGTTCACTACCTTTGTTATAAATATGAAAACAATAGTATTCTCCATAGGATATTAGAATAAGAGTGAATAATCCAATGTAAAATATCCCACCAACAATAGCTGAATACTTTGTAGAACAACTAAGTATTTAATGCAATCATTTTTTAAGTATTAGCTCAACAGGGGGTCCTCACTCTATGGCCCCAGGGCTAGAGGCAGTGGCACGATCATAAGCTCACTGCAGCCCTTGAGACTGCTGGGCTCAGAGCCATCTCCCTGCTTGGATAGCAGGTGCGAACCATTGCACCTAACCATTTATTAACAACACAGGGAATCTGGTTCATATTTCCTTATCTTCAAGGGGCCTCAAACTTTAAACAGGGCCAGTCACTGTCCTCAGACCGGTCTGCAGGCCATTGGAGAGTGCACGCGCACAATTCCATATACTCACACGTGGGCCCAGGACAAGTGGCTGCTAATCAGGACAGGCAGCGTGGCAAAACACCGGTGCCGGATAAATGTCCTCGGCGGGCCTGCATGTGGCTGAGGGCGCAGTTTTGAGGAACGCCCGCCCCTTTACAATGAAACAAAAAAAGAAAAAGGTTTTAAGACCTCCAAAGGGTAAAAGAAAAAATAGCTTCTGAGCTAGAGAGAAAAGAAAGAAAGTATCCTACTAATGAGGGAAATCATGGGATCTTCCTCAGCACTGAAAACTGCTTTTTTTCCCGGGACTCCTGGGCCATGTCCACATCAGATCGCCCCCTGACCTTGGGGTCGATGCCTCCAATGCCTTGTTCTCAGAAATCCTAAAGAGGCTTTTGGACCAAAATTTTGGACAATACTAAGCCAGAGAAAAAAATTTTTAACGAGAAAAATTTCAAGCTTAACTCAAGAAAAACAGAACCCCTCAAACCAATGTTTGGGGCAAAAATACCTTAATCAAAGATTGGACCAATCTCTTTTTCTTTCCTTTTTTGTTTCTTTTGAGGCTGTGGGAATTCTTTAGGAGGTTCCTCTCCTTCTTCCACATCAGGGCCCAGTTTGCCAACTTTTCTCAAAGCCATCAAACTTGAAAAGGAGAGTTAAAGTGGCCACTTCAGCAACAGACTCTAGGCCCCAATATTCCCTCCAACATGGTGGGAGCCCTCCCCTCTTCACAACCTACTTGGGTAGCCTCAGGGAAACCTGTAACCTCATAACTTCTTTTCCCTTCTCAGTCCCAAATGAATCCTTCTTTCAAAAGTACCCAGCCAACGGAACATAAACTTGCTGGGCGCAGATGGTCAAAGAAGAATGGGGAGAACCATCCTTTGTAAGGTGGTCATGGCCCCCTTGAAGAGACTGTTGCCACACTTGTGTTCTTGGAAAGCTGGAAGGAGAGTTTGTGTAAGAGGAAAAAAGTCCTCCCGGAAATTCCGTTTAACACCCTACGGCCACCCATTAATACCAAAAAGCCAATGCACCATACATTTTCAATAGATTATTTCTGCTTATAATCACAGCGACAACTGAAGAAAGGAAAACACACAGGAGGCCTGTCCCCCTTTGAAGCAAAAACTAATTCCTCTCCCATCATCCCGCCCGCCATAAGAAGGAAGGAGTATTAATGCTAAAAGGTTGATCCTAAAATTAATTATTTAAAACCACTCATTGCTGCCTGTTACAAAAACTGATCCCTAGCTAAAGGGGGCACTTACCCAAGGGCAAGAAAGGCAAGGGAAGACACACACCTTCCCACCCCCTAAATACCTCCTCCCACCCCAGCCCCCCTTTTTTCCTGAATACAAGTTTTTCACTCTGTGCCTAAGCTGGTAGAGGGCCCAAGTGCAAACAGTCCAACAAGCCTCAACTCTAGCCCCTCAAATCCCTGGGATAAAGCGATCCCTCCACACATCTCACCTCCTGAGTAGCTGGGGAACTCAAGATACAATTGCGCCACTGCGCCCATATAATTTTTAAAAAAAAATTTTTTTATTTTTGGCCAACCAAGGCCCGTGGAGTTTGGGGGGCCAAAAATGCCTTTGTCATCCTTAACACTCTGGGGAGTTCCCGAGGCCCAAGACAACTCAAGGTCAGGAATTATCGAAACACCAAAACCAAGAGAAACTGAAACCACAGTTTTTTTCCTACTAAAAAGAGAAGAAATTAATTTGCAATAAAAATAGTAGAAAAAAATTAAGCCCCGGCCATGGGTGGGGGGGGAGCAAGCCTGTTTAAGTTTCCAGCCCTACTTGGGAAGGCTGAGGCAGAAAAGGATAATTGCTAAACCCAGGAGTTTTTGAAAAGGGGGGGTTGCTGGTGAGCCAAGGGCCTTTGAAGCCATGGCACTCCCTAGCTTTGGGCAACCAAAGGGTTGAAGAACCTCTCAAAAAAAAAAAAATTTTTTTTTTTTTTTTTTTTTTTTTTGCAAAGAAATGAGGTCTGCAATGGTCCCCAGGCCTTAAATCTCATCAAAAACCTGGCCTTCAGCGAAACCTCCCACCCTTGGGATTCCCAAAGTGCTGGATTATAGGCATGAACCACCACACCTGGCCCAAAACCTCCTTCCTTGAACATCCCTTCCAGGGCACTGGTGGCATTCCTGAGCCTCTGAAGATCAGTCAGGCTCCAGTTTCAGGTGGCAATTTCTCCCTGTCCCAGTGCTTCATGCTTTACGTAAGCCTCATAAGTCCTTGCCTTCTTTATCTCCTCCAAGAAGCTCACGGTACTCCAGAGGCAAAAGGATATGGAATAGGTTAGGAGAAGAGAGAAGGGAAGGGCCTAAGGCCCAGAAGCCAATAGGAGGGAAGCAGGACAGAAGAATACCTCAGAGATCTCCTGGGGAAGGAAGTCTGCACAGCCTTGGAGGACCTTGATAATCTTCTGGTGGTGTGAGGGGTTCTCTGCAAAGCAAATCTCCAGCTGCCGAAGGAACTTGCGACTCTTCTCAAAAGCCTGCTGCTCCTCAAACTACCAGAGTGGAAAGAGGGCAACAGAGGAGTCACCTATACAGCTAGAGCAGGACTTGAGGGTTCTAAGGAAGTAATGGGGGATGACAGAACCCCAGTTCACTACTGTGAGATCTTATATAAACCCCTGGCATCCATCTACCTTGGGCCACTGGGGGCTACCAATTCAAAATAACTAAGATGTGAATAAAAGATTCAACAGATATGCCTTCTTTGAGTTGTTTATTTTATGAACTGTGAAATCAGACTCTCAAACTCACATGGGACTTCATAATTCACAAAGAATTTTCACATATACACTCATAATATCCTCATAATACCAGAAGAGAAGATGGGTATTATATATATAATCATCTCATTGTTATTTAACTACCATAAGACTATCAGAATAATCTCATTATTCCAGTTTTTATCAGTCATAACAAGGCACCCAGAACTACTGGGATACCCTTTATGATTAGACTCTCATTCTTTGACATTTCAAATGTCACCTTACCACAGTGGCCTCCCCAGACCACTTGTGTAAAACCACATAAACCATCCCCTCACCTACCTTACTACAACCCTCCAGTCTGCTTTCTTGCTTTATTCTTCTGTAAAGCATGATCACTATAAAACATATATACTATATATTTTAGTTTATAATTTATAGTAATATATATACTATATGTTTATATGTTTCATGGATTATCATGACTTTCCCCATGAGAAATTTAGTCTTTTTTTAAATTGCTATATTCCTAGCACCTAGAACCTTGTCTGACATGTAGTAGGCACTCAACAAATATTTAAATGAATATTTTACACCACTGAATGCCGGTTTTACACCCATGAGGAGCATATGAGAAATATGACTTACCTAAGGTCTCCATTGGTAACTAAAAGTAAAACCCCTCATTTGCCATGTAAAAACAATTGGGAGAATAGGGTTGGGAAGATCATCCCTTGAAAGGTGGAGGCTCTTATCACTTTGGGCTAGGGGGAGGCTATCCTTCTGGAAGCAGTTGGGAGATTGGAACAATCTGACTCAACTCCATTCAATCCTAGCATCAGTCTGATCCAGAAGCCTGGTATACTGTTTTTGCCTTTCTACTTACTAATCCACAGGCCAGAGCTTGCTCGGGTAATAGGAAAGCAGCAAAGTCCTTCAAGAGCTGAGGCCAATCTTGGAGCAGAATTTGGAGGCTTTTATAGAGATCCACAGCTGTCTGCCTCTGGGTACTTGACTCAAATTCATAGATGACCTGAAGGAAGTCCTCATACTTGCCAGGGATATGCTGTAGGGCTTCTCGAACCTGTACAGGAAAACTTTCAATCATCAACACCCTTTCTCTGAGCCCCACCAAAAAACAAGGGCACAAGGGATAAGAGGGGAGAGAAGGTATGGTTAGAAAGCTCCAAGAATTATCAGAGGCTACCCCTCTAACAGGTCTTAATATCTGACTGTTAATGGAAGACACTGAGCAATGAGCAAGGTACAGATCTTTTTTTTGGTAGTAGGCAACCAGAAAACCTTCATTTTCTAAGGACTACAGCCCTAGCCAAAAAACCTGTAATGCTTTTCTCTGGGTCACAGCCCTAATCTCTTCTTCCTGATTTCAGCCCCATAACTAAATAGGTAAGAA